GGGAGGGCACTCGAGTTACACACGGCGGACTAACGACGTACGTCTTTGGAGACACACAACAAGCCGAGTGTCTGATTCTGGCCATTGTGCAGTGTGCAATGCCCCCGCCGAGTTTCGTGTTCCCTTTTGTGACGGTGGCGGGCCGTCCCGAAAAGAGAATGCCGCGTGTAGTTAACTCGCGTCTCTGTTGCGCACCGTTCGCCCGTCTGTCTCCCTCTTGCGTCTCCTCCTTGTCCGCCATCGCATTTCAATTGTCACCTCCCCCGCCCCGCCCCGCCCGCGCTCCCCCGAGTGGGTCCCGGTGAGGCCCGGCAGGGGAGGGGGGGGGGCGAGGGGTAATTGGTCATGATGGAGTCCGTCCTGGGCCGCTGGGCCCGGTCCGGCGCGGTCAGTAGGCCTCCAGCCCACCCCGCTCTCCGCTTGCTCTCAGGTCCGCCGCCACACGGCCATGGCCTCGTTGTCCAGCCCACGCGCCGCGGGAGCGCTGCGGGTGCTCCTGCTCCTGTCCGCCTGCACCTACCTGGCCTGCGAGGCCGCGCCCTCCACCAGCACCACCACCGCCGCCGCGGCCGCCTCCACGACGGAGGCCCCGCAGACCTGTGAGTACCCACCTCCCCCCGGAGCCGCCGTGTGTCGGTGCGCGAGCGCCGGGCCCGGTAGGCCACGCGCCCGCAGGTGTGCCGAGGTGCTGCCTACCTCTCGGACCGCAGGCGCTCGCCGGAGGCGCCGCGCGCCGAGCAGCCAGCGGCTGGCCGTCACGGAATACGGGTGGCAACGTCTTTTACCGTTTAATCATCTTCTTGTCAGTGTTGAACAACAACACCCTGCACTGAAGTAATAATGGGGAGATGTGACTGACGTTGCAGCCACCCGGCGAACAAAACCGCTGTGGAATCAGACGCAGACGGATAGACTCAAACATGACCTTCTTCTCGGTTACGACAAGTTCGCCCGCCCTCACTCGCACGAGCTGCGGACTGACGTGGACCTGTTGGTCGTCCTGAAACACGTCAGCGTGGTGAGTGAAATGGATAAGAAATGAAATAATCTATTTCCAGCTCTGCGAAATACACTATAAACGTACCCTCTTCTCCACAGGATGAATTTGCAGGCGTCATGTCACTAGACGCATGGGTAAAAATGGTGAGTACTGTTCGACGAAATGCCTGTGACTTTGAAGGAGCTTCTTACGTTTAAAGGCAAAAGCAATAAAGAAAAAAACCGCAGCCATTCTACTTAGATGTAAATTGCTTGACCACGCAATCTTAGTGCACTGTAGCCGAGCTACACTAAAGCTTTCGCTGATGTAGAGCACCTCTGAGCAGTAGGGCGGTAGCGTGCTACTGTTACAGTTCTGGACGGACCCCAAGTTGACGTGGAAGCCGGACCAGTACGGCAATCTGAGTACTCTATACCTTCCGGATCACGAGATTTGGCAACCTGACATCATGCTGTACAATAGGTGAGCAACAAAACTATATCTTCGTCTCTTATGCGCACTGGAAACTTACTGTAGCTACTTTACAATTGTTCCCTCAAAGCGGGAAATAATTGGAATAGACGCAACGCAAGTTTCCAAAGTGCAACCTTCAAATTGACCCTTCAACTTTCCAAAATCGCACCAGCACGCATTCTTCTTTGGCATATACCTCTGCGGAAAGATGTTCCTTCCTTCCAGCTCAGTTACAATATTTACGCATGCATCTCTCTCTCACCAAGTGACACTACGAGTTCGAGTTTGACGCTATTGCTCTGATTGTCTGCTGAACAAAAGGTATGACTTAGCGCCAGTCGCGCTCAATCGTGTGTAGGGAAGACAAGATTGACTTAGAGCTCTTCTAGAACAATAGATGCAAATCCTCCCGCACGCCAGTCGCGAGGAGATCCCCTAAATTACTTGAATAACTTGTCCATCTGTTATTCAAATACAAATCCAGATGCAGTAGACGGAAAAAAGAAATTATTGAGAATATGGAAAAAAATAATAAGTTTGACCATGCACGGCTTGCTTCGGCGGTGCGCGTTTGCTACAGCGGCGTGTCTGTGCGCAGCGCCACGAGCCCCGGTATGACGGCGAGCCACTACGAGACCTCCCACCTGGTGGTCAGCAGCGACGGCGGCGTCATCTGGGTCCCCATGACGCGCCTCGAGGTCTACTGCGACCTGGACCTCTCGCACTGGCCCTTCGACACGCACACCTGCGAGTTCCGCATGGGCTCCTGGGTCTACGACAAGGCCAACCTGGACATCGTCGTGCACAACGAGACCTTCACCCACGACGTGAGTGACCTTGACCTTGTTCACCTTGCCTTCTCGCCTATATGAGCCCAATCTCACTTGCCTCACCTCCCGACCACCGCCCCGCCCCAGCCGCACATTGAGACGGAGCCGTGGATGGTGCTGAGCACCGAGTTTGAGCGGAAGGAGACCAAATACGACTGCTGCCCCGAGATGTACGTGGACGTGAGCTTCAAGCTGACGGCCTCCAGGAGGGGGGCGGCCTACCACACCGTCATCACGGCACCCCTCAGCGGTGAGTGCCCCGCGCGGGCGAATGTCGTGTGCCATGATACAACTTTACTGGAATTGTGTGTAAAAAGAAAAGTTTTCCCTCGTGTGTGTGACTCAGCCAGCATTATGCTGATCCTCATCTCGTTTTGCATCCCATACCACCGACTGGAGAAGCTGTTGCTGCACGGCATCAACATGCTGATGCTCACCATCGCCCTCCTCTACCTCACCCACCTAGTGCCCGTGCTCGTCGACAAAACGCCAATCATAGGTATATAGTATCTCATGTTTTTCACTCGTTTTGATCGATATGGAACGCGCTTGATAATTATTGTGTAAACAACATAACTTTGCAGTTGAGCTCTACGGCATAACGCTGATCCTGGTCGCGTGCGCGGCGGGGGGAGCCGGCGTCCTCGTCAACATTACGAATCAGATGCGCTTCTGGCCGGTGCCGTACATCGTGCACAAGTTCGTCAACTCGGTTGTCGTCAAAGTGTTTCTGTTGGGCAACGTGCCAGACGAGGTGAGTGAGTGTGAGTGAATCAATGGATGCATGGTAGAGTGGAGGAGAGGAAGGGGGGTAGGGGGGCATGGAAAAACGTGCGACATATGACTTTCCTAGAAGCAGATCCTAGATACTAAAGAGAGAAAGAGAGAGAGAGAGAGAGAGAGAGAGAGAGAGAGAGAGAGAGAGAGAGAGAGAGAGAGGAGCCCGGGCTACGCAGAGCATGCTCTGCAGGGCGAGCCAAGCGGGGATAAGGTCCTGCTGGCCGGATGTGGGCGCGCGGGAAGTTGCGGGGAGCCAGCTTATCTCGGGAGGCCGGGGCTGGGCTGCAGCACGCAATAAAGATACCGAGTGGTGCTGGCACACAGCATTCAATACCACACTCTTCCTCGCAGGTGCAGCCCCCGTCCAGGACGACCTCCGGCGGCGACCAGGACCAGGTGGCCATCCTGCCGCTGCCGCACGGCTCCACCGCCGAGGGCATGCACATGGAGAACGACATGGCCTACGCGGCCAACAGGCGCGACTGGGCCCTGCTAGCCATGTTCATCGAGCGCGTCTGCATGCTCTTCTGGTTCCTCCTGTTCCTCGTCGTCACGTGGGCGTACGCCTAGGCGCACCCCGGCAAGGCCCGCCGGCTTCATATCATCTTCAGTTGTCTAGTTCGTTTTGAGAGTGGCAACGTCATTTGTCATAATATTTGCAGCACCACCAACGAAGCTCGAGCCCACCTCACGGTCTCATGATCAAAGGAATTTACTCTGTTATGTCGTTTCGTACTTATCGTCAGTGATGAATGCATGTGCAAAAAATAATCTGTGCATTGGACTAGCTCACAAATAATAATTCATGTAAATCTATACCCCGCTCGGTAAGACCCCTTACCCGGGCAAAGGAAGCTCGCAGCAAGGGGTATCGCTGGAGCAAGTGCCTCCGGAGCGAGGTGCTCCTCCCCAAAAAGTGAACCATGATTTAATTTTTTTAAATCCCCAAAACAAGGAATATTTCTAAGGGGCTGGAGCACGCGTTTGGGATCATAGTAAATAAATTTGAATGGAGACAAGAGCAGGGTCGGGCTGGGGGCAGCCAAAGCTGCCTTTCCCTTTTCACTGCTGAGTCACAGACGCGGGGGACTCATCCCGACAACATGTGACTGGGTCGGCCCGGCCTGCCTTTTTTACGATAGTTGTCGCCAACTTTTCTGGAACAAACTTTCTAAGGTTTAGGGAGGGAGAAAGGGAGGGGGTGGGTGGTGTGCATTCCTCCAGAGGCCATAGCCGACCGTCTATGGCCCGTGGGGTACGAGTATGTGACCCATCAGCTTTGGCTAAGCGGTGTCCAGTTTTCCACTTTCGATTTTTATTTTCGAATACCAGGTGTCATGTCGCGCGTTTTAGCTGCTGTTATGTGATAACTTTGATCATTTTGAGGGGGGCCACATTTGCCAGATTGACAGAGAAAGATTCTGATGGAACTAAACAATCATACTTTATTGTGAACCTTTGTCCCTACCGTTCATTTCATATCCGCATTCATTCTTTTCTTTTTTTTACACGGTCTAGAACTTTAAGTCATCATCATACTTTACTTTTGTTTTTTACAATGTACAAGATGTTCCCTCGAGGAAATTACTGAAAAAAATACGTACAGTCTACAACAGAAAAATAAAAGAGAAACAAAATTTCAAGAGATAACATATTTGTCACAAATTCAGTGTCCTTCCAAGAACCGAAAAAAAAAGTGTGCAACAAGGAAAGAAAATATTGACTTGACGGCAGGGCGAGGACGATCGTAAGTGAATGGCTTGATGGTCTGTGCGGCCGTGGCCCGCAAGCCCCGCGGCCGCGTGGCCACACAGCGGCCCGACCCGGCCCGGCCCGACCGGAAACACATCAGATTGACCTTGCTCCGCCTGTCCTGCTCCCAGTGCAACTGGGTCAGGTTCTCATCAAAACGACGCGGTGGTCGCCGCGACGGCCCCTTCAGAACCCGCGACGGGGGCTACCGCGCTACCTGCTACACGGTAAAAATGACATCTTAGATTTCAAGCGATCTACTTGGTTTTCAAGACAGTTTTCAAGGAATCTACTTGAATTCCAGGATGTTCTTTTTTACCGTGTACACGTTTGGAAACCAAGTCGTAAATACGAGTTAAAGTACGAGGCAGATGGCGCGGTCGTTCGCCGTGAAGACATCTGGAATTAACATACCGAGAAAGTAAAATTTCATTACAACATTCAACTATTTAGTTACAAAAAAGAAAAGTGAACAACGTAGACTTATTTTAAGTACTTTATAAATATACATTTGTAAATTGTATGTACAAGGTACATATGTACAAGAAATCACAAATAATTGTTTTATATACACACGACATAAATATTATGGCAAACAGTCCCAGTTTACAAAAAATAGCTGTTATTATAAATATCAGTAATTATTTATAGTAAGATAGCACCTGACCTCTAAGTACCGAAGCTTATACTTTTTATAGCATATATGCTATAAGGTATACCTTAACGGTAAGCATTTTATACGCCGCTGCAGACGAAACAATGTAAAGGAAAATACTTCCGTAACAGCAGGAAGTGTCAAAACATTTATTCGAAGGAAGGGAACAACAGGTGCTGTATTTCCTTATTCCACTTCGATTGGCCACGTCAAAAAATTACCACGAAAGCGCACAGATAAAAAATACTTTGGGGGAAGTTTTGTGGACACGTCAATTCTGTGAGACATTTCCAACTCTCAAAACTGTACTAAACGCTCCCTAAACAATGCTAAGCGTAGCCTCACGGCACGAATATGGCTTACAACATTAATAAAATAACACGTAATTTGTACCTTAGATTAGCAATTTGCTCCCCTTTCATAGCGTTCTCTTTGACCGACGTTCTCGCCAAATCTGTTTGGACAGCAGAAAGGCACAATTCGCGAATGCAAGAGGTGCGAGGGAAACCCATGATAGATTTTCAACCACCTCTGATCACAAACACAATCATAGCTCGACTTACCATATATCAATAACAATATTTTTAACACAAATTTATTTAAAATCAAAAACCTAAAACTGGCTCATGGAATGCGTCACTTTATAACAAAATTTAAAATTTCTCCGCACAGGAAAGATCAAAGTATAGTATTTACAGCGCCACAACTTCGAACAGCCACCGCACTCGGCGGTTGCCAACTAAAACCTCCCTTCCCCTCCCCTCGCCAACAGCCACCCTGGCTCTAGCGCCACTTTGTTCGCAAACTGCACTATATTTACAACCCGCCGTCTCAACAACTGTGTTTATTGGCGAAGAAAGGCTATTAGAATAATTTACTCCAGGCACTGTGTGCCGCCGGGCGGGAACACACCGGCGGCCTGGCGCTCCTAATTATTTTCGCCGACAGATTCAGATTCACGTTCGGGCAGCCGCTGCTGAACTGCAATAAGGCGGGACCAGCAGCGCGGCTGCCTGGCGGGGAAGACTTCCTGGAAGTATAGCTCACCCGCGTCGCGGGGTCGGGGCCAGAGTCTATTCACCGCGGGAACGGGCGCACCGCGCGAGCCGCGGCTCCGCCCAGGAAGGAGACGGAGACGAAGTGTCTCCAGAGGTGAGACAGATAGAGGCAGTTCCAGGAGGTCGCTGCACTCGGCGGCGGCTGCGGCATGCCTCGGTCCCGTCCCGTCGGCGTCGTCTGCAGTCGGAGGGAGAAGACACGGGGAAGGCCGCTTCACCGCAGCACGACGGTGGCCACGAGCAGCGCCAGGGCGGTCAAGCAGGCCGAGACGGAGCTGCGGCCGGCCGAGTTATCTGCAACACGCAACAAGTAGGCCGTGAGGTACCGGGCAGAACGGGGGCAGCGCAGCGGCCGGGCACACACACACACACACACACACACACACACACACACACACACACACACAACATCTGCATCAGCATTAATTTCACACCTCCGTCCGTACCTCGGCCGTGTGCCGAGATAAACCCGACCAGAGAGGTAGCGCGGGCTGCCAATAGTAGCTAACGACGTTGCCTAGGCTGCTGCTGCTGTTGTCGTTGGAAGTACGTACTCATCACACACACACACGCACTCGGTCCACCGCCACGTCCCGCACCATCGCGAGCGGCGCTAGTTAGTAAAGCAGGGCACGTCACGTGATGGACACGTGTGCTCAGTGCTGCGAGCACCCCACCCCTCTCAGTCAGCAGCATCGCGTGCGAACCACTAGGGGGATGTGGTACTCTGATAGTAGCCCAGGGAATAACATTTAAATCAGTGCGCGGGCAAATTGTTAGTTCGAAATGTTGTTTGTTGTTCCGTCGAGTTTACAAGTAGTTTAAAGGGAGAGGGTGAAACAAACCTGCTCCGGTAACCCGCTTGCATTAGCATGCACAAGGACACCGCTCAGGGTGCCGTAGCCTCAGCAGCAGAGGGCGCCGAGAAAGTCGCCCCGCAATAATAATGCGAGGTCCCTCCTTGCCGCGTACCGCCCCGCCCCGGCACGCCCCGGCCACGCCAGAGACAGACTGACGCAAGCCACACAGGGGTAAGGTACATCATTGGTTTCTAGTCACGACCCCAGGGACGTTACGGGACGTGACGGCATAAGGGGGTGAGGGGGGGGGGCAGCAGGGGGAACCAAGTCGTAAATACGAGTTAAAGTACGAGGCAGATGGCGCGGTCGTTCGCCGTGAAGACATCTGGAATTAACATACCGAGAAAGTAAAATTTCATTACAACATTCAACTATTTAGTT